AGCAAGCAGCTGGAAGATGACCGCACCCTCTCTGATTACAACATCCAGAAAGAGTTGACCCTGCATCTAGTCCTCCAACTGAGGGGTGGCTACTAATTCTTCAGTCTGCATTCCCAGTGGGCAGTGATGGCATTACCCTGCACTCTACCATTTGCCTCAATTTAAGTTTAGAAATTACAACTTTCACCGGGCGGTGGTGGCGCACGCCTTTAATCCCAGCACTTGGGAGGCAGAGGCAGGTGGATTTCTGAGTTCCAGGCCAACCTGGTCTACCGAGTGAGTTCCAGGACAGCCAGGGCTACACAGAGAAACCCTGTCTCGAAAAAACCAAAAAGAAAAAAAAGAAATTACAACTTTCAATAATAGCTGAACCACTGTTTTAAATGTTAATAAAGGCTTTGTTGCATGGGAAGCATAAAAAAAACGATTCTAGGCCTGAGTCAGAATGCCTGGCAAGAAGCCGTCGGTATGAGGCATGCAGCCTTCCTTCTAAGATTACACACATGCTTCTTTTGAAAGTTTTTTAGATTTATTTTATGTGTATCTTTTGTCTGAATGTGTGTGCGTACACCACATGCATACCTGGTGCCTGGAGAAACTAGAAGAAGGTATAAGACCCCCTAGAACTTGAGTTAGGGGGTCTGTGAACCCTCATGTAGGTGCTACAAATCAAATCCGAATCCTCTGAGCAAGCAACAGGTGCTTTTAACTGCTGAGCCCCAATACAAACAGGGTTTTTGACTGTTGGGTTTTTTTTTTGGGGGGGGGGTGTTGGGTTTTTTGTTTTTTTGTTTTTGTTTTCCCCATACAGAGTTTTTCAAGGTAGCCCTGACTGCCCTGGAACTCACTCTGTAGACTAGGATAGCATCAATTCACAGGAGTTACTTTGCCTCTGCCTCTCTAGTGCTGGGGTTGAGGACGTGCACCACTGTGCCCATCAGAAAAGGGCACTTTTGCGATTCTCCCTCTGTCATTTGGGTTTACCTCAAACTCAGTTTCCCGACTCAGCTTCCAAATTACAGCCTCACATCTGGCTCTGCGTTTTGAGAACTTGGAAACAGCCACTAGGTCATCAGCAATCGCTAAAAGGAAACTTGGCAAAATAAGCAGAGAGGCTTCTTTTGGCTGAGGTTGCAGGAAGGTCTCCTAGCAGTGGTTGGTATCAGCCCTGCATCCTGGATATTCTTTCTGGCTATGACCTTAGAATGGCTAAGGATGGGTGGGAGTAGCCAGAGCCTGGTCCCCAGTTGGCTATGGAGGACCAAAGCGGGGCTGGAGAGATGGCGAGGGTGATGTTATACAGCAAAGCTTGGGTCTAGTGGGGAGTAAGATGGAGAGTTGACAGGTACTCTTGTAGCCATGGCCTATCCACACAGAGGTGTCTGTCTACCCTCCCATCTGGGTCTGTGGGAGGGCAAAGCTATCAGGACCTGCTCTGCCCAACTCCCTCCTTCTTCCGTCCCAGCCTACTTCAGTCTAGCAGCGGCTGCTGTCCACGACAGCCATCCCAGAGGCAAGTAGGGTATATATATGTTCTTGCTGCTGCTGACGACGACAGTTTCACTGATTTTGCAAAGGAAATGGAGAGCCTGGTTTTCCAGTCTGCTGGCTGCTGGCTGGAGACAGTCAACGCTATGGGCTTAGTCTGCTGCCACCACGGTGTTCTCAGTGTATGACTCAGAACTTGGATGCTCTTCCTGCTGGAATCTACCGGGAGGTGAGGGGCTCACTTCTTCCAGCAGAGTATACCTACCATTCAGGGTCTGCTGCCTGGAGACAAGCTCGGGAACTATGAGTCAAGGTTTAGGGCTTAACAAACTGGCACATGTTCTTGATAAACAATGGCTTTTAAAAACTGGGTCAAGGGAACAGGAAGACAATAAAGACGTGTGCGTGTGTGCACGCACATGAGTGTGCATGTGTGTATAAAATTGTCAAACAGTGAAATCATCAAAGGAAAAAAAAAAGACTATCCAGGAACAAGGAACAGTGCGCTGAGACAGGGGTTATTGGAACATAAGAATTTCCAGGGAAGGAAAAGGGTCAGATGTAGCCTAGAAGCAAGAAGCCTGGGAGGTGCCACCAGAGGGAGAGAGAGAGGGGGGTTAGCAGCTCTGGAGTGAGGAGGACAAGGAGGGGTGAGCAAGAAGACACTTCCAGGAAACCTGAAGTATAGAGAGACAGGAGTAGAAGGTGATGCAAGCTGAAGCCAAGGCCTCCCTTTCTCCGTCTCTCCCTCCCTCCCTCCTACCCTCGCTTTATGTATATGTATGTGTATATGTATGTATGTGTGTATGTGTGTGTGTGTGTGTGTGTGTGTGTGTATTTTGCCTGTATGTATAGGCTCCACATACAGGCTTAATACATGTGGAGGCCAGAAGTGGGGGTCTGATTCCCTGGAACTGGAATTACAGATGGTTGTGAGCTGCCGTGTGGATGACGGGAACTGAATCTTAGCCTCTGAGCCATCTTCCTGCTTATTTTTAGATTGATTTATTCTAATATGTGTGAATGTTTACCTGCATATATCTATGTTTGTCATGTCCGTGCCTGGTACTCGTGGATGTCAGAAGAGGGCAACAGGAGCTCCCAGAACTGGAAGTTTCAGACACTAACTACAGTGGCCATGTGGGTGCTGGGAACTGAACTGAGGTCCTGCAGGAGCAGTCAGTGCTCCTAACTGCCAAGTCATCTCTGTAGTGCCCTTTTCAAATGTTGTGTATGTGAGTGTGGGTACTCGTGGAGGTCCAGAGGCGTCAGATACCCTGAACTGAGTTTTAGGAAATTGTGAGGAAGACAGGGCTGACGCTGGGGACAGGACAGAGACTCCTCTTTTTTTTTTTTTTTTCGAGACAGGGTTTCTCTGTATAGCCCTGGCTGTCCTGGAACTCACTCTGTAGACCAGGCTGGCCTCGAACTCAGAAATCCACCTGTCTCTGCCTCCCAAGTGCTGGTATTAAAGGCGTGCACCACCACCGCCCGGCTAGGGACTCCTCTTTAAGGGCATTATCTACTTTAACTGCTAAGCCATCTCTCCAACCCTGCTATTTTCAAAAAATACATTTAGGGCTGGGGCTGTCACTCAGTGTTAGGATACTTGCTTAGCATGTCTAAGGCCCATCCCCAGCACCTTAGAAGCCAAAGCAACCTTCCAAACAATTTGGTGGACCAAGTGAGGAGCACAGAAAAAGCTTTTTGATTTTGTTTGTCCTTTGGAATGTCTCTTCCTACAAGTCCCCAGCTTATGAAAACCATTTGTCACATCCTCCTCCCACTGATGGGGTTTAGCCAAGACAGACCTATGTTGAGCGCAGCCTCTTATGGGTACGTAAGAGGTCTTATGGTCTCCCAGTGTGGCCTGTGACCTTCCCATGCAAGGCAAATGCAGTGTCTGATACATTCCTCCACCACAGAGGAAAATGTGGGGCCCTTAAGACGATTTATCAGGATATTTGCTGTTAACCCTCATGACCTAGGTTCAGTCCCTGAAGCCCTGCCAGTGGAAGGTAATATCCAGCTCACTCATGTTATATCTTCTGGTCTCCATCCTGGTGCACACACACAATATAAATATTAAAAACTTAAAAAGAGTAATGCTGCCGGGTGGTGGTGGCGCACGCCTTTAATCCCAGCACTTGGGAGGCAGAGGCAGAGGCAGGCGGATTTCTGAGTTCGAGGCCAGCCTGGTCTACAGAGTGAGTTCCAGGACAGCCAGGACTACACAGAGAAACCCTGTCTCAGAAAAAAAAAAAATGTTTGCCTCGATGAGAGAGAGACATTTTCTTTTGAGTCAGTGTCTCATGTAGCCCAGGCTGGCTTCAAATTGGCTATGTAGCTGAGGATGACCCTGAAACTGATCTTCTTGCCTTCACCTCCCAGGTGCTAGGTAAGCCATCATGTCTTCTCTGGGGAAACATTTTCCAAGTGATACTTTCTCCACTACCATGTGTCCAGCATTGGTGAGCGCTGCCTCAAAGAATTCTGGGGAGCCCATATGGTTCAGGAAAACAGAAGATAGTCTACACCAAGAAGAGATATGGTTTCAAGAAGACAAAAGGAAACCTTCATCCAGTTTCATTTTTTTCCCACCTTTGTGTGTGTTCCATTGTGTGTGAGAGAGCGAGCAGGTCTCATGACCTGGGCAGTCTGTAGCTGGAGCTAGCCTTCCCGTCTCTCCCTCTGGAGTGTTGGGATTACAGTGTGTGCCACCACACCCAGCTACATTCCTAGCCCCTCACTCTGGCTTTTCTAATTTAGTTTTGAATATTAAAGAATTTTCTAAGGTAGGGCTGTAGCTTGGTTGATACAGTGCTTCTCTAGCATGCACAAAGCCCTGGATTTGGACCCCAGTACCCTGAAAGTATCACACACCTGTAATTCAAGTACTGAGAAGGTAGAAATAGGATCAGAAGTTCAAGGTCACCCTCGAAGCTATAGCCAGCATGAGGCAAGCCTGGGCAACATCACACCTTGCCTAAAAGGAAGAAAACAAAACACACTTCCCAAGATAACACGACAAAGAAAAATTTCACAGAAAATTGGTGCTGGGATACTCAGAATATATCTTCTCCTCACCCAGAGACATGGTCAGGGAGGGACATGCAACTGACTCGCAAGGAAGGTGGAAATCTGGGAGGCCAGGCTATACCAAAGGGCCAGGTCTAACGTTTTGGTCGTCAGATAACTTGAAATTTTTATTTTGTGAAGGACAGTGAACTGACTCTGTGACTCAGAGGTGAGCCCCTCTCAAAGCACTCCTTGTGGTTTTCTGTGTCAGACAGACCAAGGAGCACTGCAGAAGGACTGTGCTCCCCCAGGGTCCTTCTTGCCATCACTCTCTTCTGATGGCCAGAAGCAGCAGTGGAGGCGTCTGGGAAGGAAAGCTATCAGTCTGTTTCTGGAGGGAAGCATAGCTGTTATCCTATGGCGTGAGAGATAAATATCTTCCTTCATGAAGACAGATTCACAGTGCAGACAAAAAGGAGAGATGGAGGCCGTGGCATGCTAAAGACTGTAGGAATATTTTAATGCTTTAATTACATTACGTAATAATAATATCAGAGTCTATTTTACAAGTTAAAGGTATGAGAATGTATGAAATAGAAGTGGTAGGAAAAACCTAAATGGGTCAGAAAGGTCAATTTTTTTCAAAACCGGAGGCCAAAGAAAGCCTGTAGGGCCCAAGGAGGCGGCGGGGCAGGTGACAGGCGCAGTGTGGCTCCTGGTATGGGTTTCTTCCCACGTTTGCACCAGGAAGGAGTTGAGGCTCACCCTGCCCTTGGCTTGGTGGGGTTTAGTCTTGTCAGTGAAGATGGAGGTCTGGGGAGAAAAGCCAACTGGCTGCCTAGTTAGAGCTGGTTTCCGGGTGCACAGGTGGGTTCTGTGTTGAAGGAGTCAGCTGTAGTATCAAAGTCAGATGTGCAGAGGAACAAGTACAGCTTCCTCCTGCTCCCCGGTCCAAATTCTTGGAAATGCACACAAGTTCTCTCAAACGTAGAAAAGCCTCACTTTGGATGTGCTGACAAGAAGATCGTCGTCAAAGAACTTTGTCTCTATGATGACGTTGCCCCTGTGGGAGAGAACCGAGACGGTAGAGAGAGTGAGTGCCACAGGCCAAGGTGCCCCGTCCATAGATAGTGTCCATTTGGGTGCTCTGGGCTGGGCAGTGGACACCTAGAGCCTCAGCACAGGCCATTACAGTCCTTGTTGAGAGCCAGCTGTGGTGCTGTACACCCATAACCCTGGGATCCACAAGGCCAAGGCAGGAGGATCTGAGTTCAAGGTTACTCTGGGCTATATAGTAAGGTTCTATCTCAAAAGGAGAACAAAGCCAGGCATAGTGGTGCATACCTTTAGTCCCAGCACTAGAGAGGAAGAGGCAGGTGGATCTCTGTGAGTCCAGGTCAACCTGGTGAGTTTCAGGCCAGCCAGGGCTGCAAAGTTAGACCCTGTCTCAAAACAGAAACACAGCAAGGCAAATACAATTAAAGTGCCATCTGTATGGGTTAGAGTCTCACAGTGTTAAACTCATGTGACTTGTTCTCCTCAATTGAAAAAGTCAGAAATAAGAGCATGCCCTTCGTCTCGGCACACTAATGTCTCTGCAGAGTGCTCTGCATACAGACCTCATGGATACCTCTGGCTTGAATCCTAATGGATGGCTGCAGATCCTGAGCTGACCTCAGGAAGGCAGCTTTTTCTACAATACTAAGTAAAGCAGACAGCTAAGGTGTGGCCTGTCTTGAAGACTTAATGGATTCTTGCCCTTGTCTCTTCCAAGCTGCCCAGGTCTCTCCTTGGTCTAACTCAGTTCTATTCTCCAGGATTTGATTCTGTTGTTTGTAACCAAAGAACCTTAAATGAGGCACCTATCCAGTGAGAACAGGGTTTACTTTTCTGGTTAGATGGTTATCTTTTTTTGTTTTGTTTTGTTTTGTTTTTTGAGATAGGGTTTCTTTGTGTAGCCCTGGCTGTCCTGAAACTCACTCTGTAGACCAGGCTGGCCTCGAACTCACAGAGATCGCCTGCCTCTGCCTCCCAAGTGCTGGGATTAAAGGTGTGTGGCACCACCGCCCTACATGGTTATCTTGGTGGCCCATTCTGTTTTCTTTTTCCTTTTCTGGCTATGCCAGAAAATCAGCCTAGGATCTTGTGCATGCCAGGCAAGAACACTCCCACTGAGCTATAAATGGCACTGCTCCCATTTATAAAATGGAATATTGTTGCCATATCAAATCCTTTTGAGGATTTAAAAAATATTTTATTTTAAAAAATAATTATTTTAAGCTGGGTGTGGTGGAACATGCCAGCACTTGGGAGGCAGAGGCAGGCAGATCTCTGTGAGTTTGAGGCCAGCCTGATCTACAGAGTGAGTTCCAGGATAGCCAGGACTACATAGAGATCTTGTCTCAAAAAATTAAAAATAAAAAAATAACATATGTATATGAATGTTTTGCCTGTATGTAAATCTGTGCAACACACAGGTGCCTGGTGCCTGTGGAGGCCAGAGGAGGGTTCGAGTCCCATGGAGCTGGAGCTACAGAGAGTTGAGAATTGCCTTGGGAATGCTGGGAACCAAACTTGGGTCCTCTGGAAGAGCATCCAGTACTCTTAATTGAGAGCCATCTCTCCAGCCCCTCTGTAGCTCTTCTGTCCATCTGGTGTGGCTTTCAGGGATATCTCCTGCCAGACGAACTACTGTTACACAATTATATGTAGGTCTTAACTTTTTAGGCAATCCTAATACTGAGACTTTCTTTTTTTTTTTTTTTGGTTTTGCTTTTTTTTGTTTTGTTTCGAGACAGGGTTTCTCTGTGTAGTCCTGGCTGTCCTGGAACTCACTCTGTAGACCAGGCTGGCCTCGAACTCAGAAATCCACCTGCCTCTGCCTCCCAAGTGCTGGGATTAAAGGCGTGCACCACCACCGCCCGGCATACTGAGACTTTCTTTTGGCAGTGCAGGTCATAGAATTCACCTGTGTTAAGTAAGCTCTCTATCACTGAGATACAACCTCATGTTTACTGAAATATTTGAAAGACTTTATCTTGTCCCAAGAGAAAAAGGTTAAGTGGCAGTTACTGACAATGTTTTTAAATTTTAATTTTACTATTATTACTGTGAATCTGTGTATGACGTGTGTTAGTGCAGGAGCATGAAGTGTGTGCCATGGTGCATGTGTAGAGGTCAAAGGACAACTTTCAGAAACCATTCTCTCCTAGCCTGGGTTCCAGGGATGGAACTCAGGCCAGCAGGTCTGTGCTGGGACATCCTGCCAACCCTTGACAGTTTCTGACAAATAAATAAACTATTCTTGGACCATAGCTATTAAATCACAGGCCAGTCTCTGAAGAATGATGTCCAGTATTGTCCTCTAAGATGCAGCACTTTGGCAGATGTGTCTTTAAGGGGGTCCAGACAATGTGCAGCTACTCAGGGAGAAAGTTCTAGATTTGACGTTTATTTTTTGAACCTGTACAAAAGTCAGCAACCTTGACACACTGCTGGGTACTCTCTTACTCTTCGTTCTTTCTAGTTCTCTGCGTTTGAGTAGGACCTGGAGTCTCACCTGCCTGAAAGCTTACTCTGAAATACACTTGAAATCTCCTGGGCCCTCACTCACGTTAGGACGCTGGCGGGCATCATCTGGGACTCAGGCGCTGCTTCTATCAAGGACTGCCAGGTGTTTGTGGAGTTAGGGATCACAAAGCCAAACTCGAAGAACCACTCTGAAGGAAGAAGGAAAAGCCAGTGAGCAGGTGGTGTTGTGGCATGGGGGAGCCATAGGCTGTGTCCCTCTACTTTAGAGTGGGCTCTTCCTATCCAGAATATGAAAGAAACCTATCAGATACCTCCTAAACCAGAGGCACATGAAAGGACACAGGGACATTCACAGACTATCTTCTGATTTGTGCCACAGGCTACTTTCTTTTTTTTTTTCTTTTTTGGTTTTTCAAGACAAGGGCTTCTCTGTGTATCTAAGGCTATCCTGGAACTTACTTGTAGACCAGGCTGGCCTCAAACTCACAGAGATCCACTTGCCTCTGCCTCCTGAGTGCTGAGTTTAAAGGTGTGCGCCACCACACCCAGGGCACACAGGATTGTCCTTTATGGGGTCTAATAGACAAGAATCAGGGAGGAGGAGACATTAGAAGCAGCATTTTCTTGGGAATAGCAAGCTCTGCAGTAAAACAGAGGTAGGTCGCTCTCCGGTGCCTACATGTTCTCTTATATTTTGAGAACTCAATTCAGAGTCCTTACCAATAAGAGCTTATGATGTGTAAATACAGCCCTACACTACACTTCGTCATAACTGCTTCTTCCAAGATCACATTGTGACCGCACATCAGGCTGGGGCACAGGTGCTGGCACCAAGCTTCACTTGTCCAGCCTTGTTTTTGTTTCCACTGGGGTTCCCCAGTGTTGTAGAATGTAGTCTATTAGTCGTAAGGTCCGTGTTCTCAGAGCACTGCCCTGCCTGTTGTCCCACCCTCCTGCACTCAGAGTCCAGGCACACGTGGCGTAGAATACCTTCCAGACATTGTCCTTTGAAGTAAACTTTTTGTTCCAGGCGGAATTTTTCCATTTGCTCTGCTGAAGAAAAGTTCAGTTCTCGAGACACTGCCTTGCACTTGAGGATTTTCTTGGGCACACGGGCTGAGAGAGAGAGAGAGAGAGAGAGATATTGAGATTGGTTGGTACCTTTCTAAATGAGAACCGAGAATACTTCAGGATCCTGGGAGTTCCTTTGGCTGCCTTAGAGAATTTGTTTCGATAATTAGCTTTCATTAAATGCCTTGGTAACTGCATTACGTTCCAGCTGAAAGCAGAGGGGTCTAATTGGTCAACACACGTGACTTGTTGTCAAGGAACACCAGATCTGGTGTCTCCACAGGCCTCACCTCACTGCTCAGGCTGTGAACATCCTCTCTCTATGTAGGCTGTCAGTGCCTTCTTTATGTTCTGATTCCTTGAAATCATTTACCTTTCCTGTTTTCCTCCAGAAAGATAAAAATGAAAATTTTCTTCTGGAAAAGGTTGAGATCTTCTAACTTGCCTTTTCTCTCTTTTTTTGAGACAAGGTTTCATGTGGTCCAGATTGGCTTTAAATTGACTATATAGCGGAGGCTGGCCTTGAACTCCTGATCGTTCCTGTTTCAACCTGCAAAGTGCTGGGATTACAGGAATATGCCATCACATCCAGATCTGGGGATGGTCCAGTGCTGAGGTGGATTTGGAGAGTGAGAGAAGGAAATGTAAAAACGGAACAAGAAGTGTTCTCTCAGTTCACCTGCAGGGCTCACCTGTCTAGTAGATGCATGCTTACTTAGCTCCTTGATGCCAGGGTGCTGTCTGGCATTGGGCATAGTTTGCACACTCAAGGGGCTGCAAAGTACCTTCATGTTCCACACCAGGGACAGACAGGTCTTCTGTTCCTTGCCAGAGTATCTTCCCTGTTTCGGCATCCCGAAGGTTCATCCAATTTCTCATCAAGTATGATTAAGGAAAACTGAGGCTCCGAGAGCGATCCCGACCGAGGAGGGCAGGGGTCTCAACTCTGCTCCGATCAACTCTTGTTTATTTTGAAGCGAGTCTGTTAAACAACTCAGTGCCATGGAAGCCGGTAAGTGTATGTAGGAGAGTCCAAAAGACACGCGGAGGAGGAGGCGGCGGCGGCGGCAGAGGGCGCCCCAGAGACCCTTATCTACATCATGGTACCTAAGATCTCAGACACGGACTGGGATGCGGCTCATGGTGGAGCGCTTGCTTAGCAGTTTCAAGGCCCCTTTTCAAACCCCAGCATTGGGAGAAAGGAAAGAACTCAAAGATAGCCACTAGAACTGGTAGCAAGGGCTAGAAGAAAAACTAGTGAAAAAAACCTAAAGGTGTCAAAGGAGTCTCATCAGTCAAAAAATGGTAAAATATAGCAGGTCAGATATCAGGGTATTGCCAAAGGATGGAGCTACACAGATATGGTCCATGAGCCTCGCTCACTACCGCAGCTCTCCCTGAGCTTTTTAGTGTGAGGTGACAGCAAAGACTGGCAAGATGGCTCAGCAGGTAAAGGTGCTTGCTGCAGGAGCCTGACAACCTGAGTTTGACCTATGGATCTCACAGTGGAAGTGCAGAACAGGTGCCCAGTAGATGTCCTCTGACCTCCCTGACCTCCACAAAAGTATTGTGGCATATGTACACACACACAGAGACACACAGGCATACACACACAGCCCAGTCAGCCAAGAACCATCAGAAATCAAGACATTTACTGTGAAAGCAAACAAAAACAACTAAGAGAAAAAAAAACAAAACAAAACTACAGATCAAGATGCAAATATCACCAGAGAGATGGTTCAGTGGTTAAGATTGTTGTTACTTTTTTTTTTTTTTTTGGTTTTTCGAGACAGGGTTTCTCTGTATAGCCCGGGCTGTCCTGGAACTCACTCTGTAGACCAGGCTGGCCTTGAACTCAGAAATCCGCCTGCCTCTGCCTCCCGAGTGCTGGGATTAAAGGCGTGCGCCACCACCGCCTGGCAAGATTGTTGTTACTTTTGTCAGAGGTCCAGAGTTTAGTTTACAGAACCCACATGGGGTGGCTCACAACTGCCAATATCTTCAGCTCCAGGTGATCTAATACCCTCTTCTGGCCCCCATGGGTGCCCCAAGCCATGTGTGTATACATACACACACACACACACACACACCCCATAAGTAACACATACATAAGCAATCTTTTATTTTATTTGACAAGGTTTCTCTGTATAGCTCTGGCTGTCCTGGAACTCACTCTGTAGACCAGGCTGGCCTCGAACTCAGAGATCCACCTGCCTCTGCCTCCCAAGTGCTGGGATTAAAGGAGTGCACCACCACCACCCGGCTATAAGCAATCTTTTAAAAATGAGAAAGACATGCTATAACACAAATGCCAGATGTTCTATACAACAGATTTTTTCGGGTTGTAGAAGGACATTCTGGGGTGTTTGGCCACGCCCCCAGAACCCAGGGACCTAACACTCGGTCTCATCTCCATTTCACCTGTACAGTCAGCCACGGAAGACACAGGTAGAGGGCGTGACTAACAGGCCTCTGCCTCGAGATTTACATATTAATGAATTACCTAAAGGCCCGGGGACATAGGTGAGTTTTCCCCTCCCTAGCTCCTCCTCTTTCCTACTCCCCAATATAAGAGAGCTCCGCCTGGCATTTGCGGGGGGTGGGGGGCGCATATCATCCAGATACAACTATCATCATGGACAATAAAACTTTTATCTTGGATTCCACGTGTCTCCTGGAACTTTGGACTTTCTTGTGCATATGGGAAACCTCCTCCACCGGAAAAGCCTCTCGGACCCATCGCTACAGTCCACAGGACTCCCTCCCCCGCAGCAGCGCCCCACAGGCTGCCTCCCCCCGCTGCTCCTCCAGGACAGGCGCGCTGCGCTGGGGGCCCGACCTGCCACTGTGCTGGGTCCCAGTGCCACTGCTCCCGGGACCCTGCCGCCCAGCCGGTCCCAGGGCAGGCCTGAGCTGCCCACCCGCATGTGTGTGTTTTTTCCCTTCAAGGTTTTCTATATTTTAGTTGATTTTTTTGTGGTTCATGGCTACTACAATTTATGGGATAATCAACTAAATATCTCTTTTAGTCAAAAATGGCTTCTAACTTACATATTTATGTTTTCTAAGTTCTGTTTTTTATACAATAAATAAGATAGCAAAAACACATCCAGAGAACAAGAAAGACCTTTAGGAAAACAAGTTTTCCTAGAGTCAAGAAATCTAATGCAAAGGCTGAAAGAAAAATTGAAGCTCTTAACAAAAATTAAAAAGGAAGGAAGAAGGAAGGAGAGAAAGAAAGAAAGAAAGAAAGAAAGAAAGAAAGAAAGAAAGAAAGAAAGAAAGAGGGAAAGAAGGAGTAAAGGAAGTAAAGGCTAGAAAATAGGTGCATAAGAATAGGTGATGTGGTGAGATGGCTCAGTGGGTAAAGGGGCTTGCCACCAAGCCTGCTGGCCCGAGTTCAAGCCCTGGGACACACGTAGAAGAGAGCTGACTTCTGCAAGCTGTCCTCTTGACTTCCCCCATCTGCCTGTGGCACAAGTGCATACCCTGACCTCACAGACATAAATAAGTGGAGTTAAAAGATGTGAGAATTAGAGAATGGTCTAAGAGGCCTAACATCCAAAAACAGGAGTTAAACAGAACAGAAGCCAGATATGGTAGTGCAGACCTGTAACGCCAGTGTTTGTAAGGGAAATCAGATGTTCAAAGTCACCTTATCTACACTCTGAGTGTGAGGACAGCTTGGGTTTCATCATGAGTTAGAGGCTAGTCTGACCTTTATTCCCCCCCCCAAAAAAACCCCACAAAAATTTAATAAAAACAACCTTTTCCTTTGAAAAATGATTGACAAAGAAAACTATTGCTATAAGCAAATAAGCAAAAAAGTGGCCTGTAAAAGAAGTAAAGGAATATTTTGTGAAGTGGCCGAGCAGTTGAGGAACCTTATATGTGCCTTTTTTCTGTTTGGCAACAAAGGCTATGTCACACTCTCCTCTGAGAGGTATGGGCTGTGTTGCCCCTCAGAAGCTAAGGGGGTATGGGGCTCTCTTTTCCCACATACAGCTGAGGCAAGTACATGGCCTAGGCTTAGACACTGGAGACCTTAGTGGGTCTTTTGGTGCAGGCCCTGGCCCTCTACCTTTTGGGCAGATCTTTGCCACACTCTTCCACTGTTTGACTTGAGGTCAGCTGAGGCCCCTGCAGAGCACAGCTGCTGTACATGTGCACATGGGTGACAGAGTGACATTCACCCAGAGAAGGTCTACATTTTGCTGTTATATATACAAGATAAGCTTGGGCTGTCCAGCAGGCTAGGTTTTTTGAGTAATTAGGCCAGGAGCCAGAGTATGCATGCCTTTTTCCTTGGGGTATGTGAGTCCTAACCAGTTTTCCAAAGTGCCTGACCATGCTTTGGCCACTGAGTTCTTCTTTACCTATTTGGTTCACTTCCTCTGGTCTACATTTCTCTTTCTTTCTTTCTTTCTTTCTTTCTTTCTTTCTTTCTTTCTTTCT